TTTAACATAAATAAACATAATTAAACATCTTTAGGCAATTTAGCATCCCTATTATTACCACACCTTTAAACTTTAAATTACACCTAATAACGCTTTCTTAATCACCACTATTATACAGAAAAAAGTTTTTAAGGTCATTTTTTCCCAACTAGGCCTATATCAGAAGAAAACAGATCATTCCACCTCCTTATATAATTTATTTTTCCTCCTACACATCTGTAATCTATTTTTCTGACACAGCGTTTCTACATGCCTTCTTCTTTTATGTGTGTACTGGTTTCCTGGTCTCCCCCTTCTGGCTCTCACAAACTTTATTTCCCACATTTCATTATCCCTTTTAAATTTCCAGGCCCGTGATTTTTTCCTTTTTGTTCTCCTACACAACATTTCTACATGTCTTTTTCCTTTATGTATGAACTGATTTCGTAATCTCCCCCCTCTAACTCTCACATACTCCAGTTCCCACATTTTGTTGTTTCTTTTAAATTTCCAAGCCCATGCTTTTTTTCTTTTCGCTCTCCTACTTCCTTCTTTTTCAATTGATGTAAGTCTTGAATAACAATAGGTTAAAAGGCGGATGGTCGGGACTAGGTGGAAACCATGATCCACTCCACTCTTCATCCCTGCTTCGGGGCAATATCAGACACACACACACACCCCCGCCGTGCCAGAGTGGGGAGGGCCGGAAAAAAGCCCCCTGCCACCGGCTCTCCCTCCCGGAGAGCCGGCGAGGGCACACCCCCCCCCCGACACCGGGAGGTACTCAAAAAAGATGAAAAGGGATCAGGCGGCTCGGGAGCATCTCGAGAATCCGCCCATCGCCCATGTTGTATCACGCATGCCGGTTGATTCTTTTCGTGATTACTACTGTTGAACAACGTTTGAGCCAAGTGGCACCTATAAAACCAACAAAGTTTTACTCAAGGTATAAGCTTTCCTGTGCTTTCCTGTGATCCTCATGAATTCATATGCTTCTTTAGATACAGTGTGTAAAATATAATAACCAAAGGTTATTTACTGTTAGACTGACCAGAAACAAGGAAAGCCCTACAAGCAAAGACTTAGGCAAACATTACGGTTCGCTGAAAACGGCATGGTTTTATATGTTAAAAGAGCATTCTCTGTTGACTAATACTTAGTAGCTCTTGTGGAACTCTACTGAGCTAGCTAGTCAAGGTGAAGAAAATAAAGGCCTGAAGCAAATGACTCGTTCCATATTAGGTGTGTTTCGCTCTATACAAGACTGTATTCATTGACCTCTGGAAGCCAAATACAGTTGTTGGTGAATCACAGGCCTGGATAAAAGTCGGATCTCCATGATTTTAAGCGGATCCTCATGAATTCATATGATTTTTACATTGAAACAAAATAAAACCACCATCATACTGTAGAACATGTCTTAGACCAGGGGTGTCAAACATGCGGCCTAGGGGCCGAGTCAGGCCTCGGAGGGCTTCTATCAGGCCCGCAGTGGAACTGGCTGTCTTCTGCTTCTTCCAGCTCTGCTGCTGATGCGTCATCGTAGGTTTGCAGCTTACGTATACACACCTGAACAGCATACTCCAAATTGCAACAGCACAGACATTTTGATGCAATAATTCAGAGCAAGAGGTGTCAGTTATCAGACACTGTTAAATAAACAAAATATTGCAAGAGTGCTAATGTTTTAAGCAAGTTTGTGTCCTTTATAAAGTTTATATCTCCGCTACCTGGCATTACATTTTATGACACACATGGGCCAGCCCACCAAGGTCTCGTTTATGTCAGATCTGGCCCTCATAACTAATGAGTTTGACACCCCTGTCTTAGACGATAGGCAACACCACAAAAATCATGCATCCACGGATTCGTGGCCCTACAGTATTCCAAAGCACGGATCTGCATGAATTCATATGATTTTTACATCAAAATGAAACAAAACCACCATCATACAATAGACCATGTCTTAGTCTATAAGCAGCACCACAAAAAGCACACATCCAAGGATTTGTGGCACCACAACAGTGCAAAAACATGGTTCTAAAGCACGGATCCTCATGGATCCCCACAATTTTTGTACTACGTCATCCCACACTCATAATCAGGTTACCTATAATATCAATAGCCACAGATTGTATAGAAAAGTCACACATCCACGGCTTCGTGGTGCCACAACAGTGAAAAAAACTGGTTTCAAAGCAAGGGTCCCAATGGATCCTCAGGGTATTTGCATTGGGTTACCCCAACTTCACAATCAAATCACCTATCATGTCCATGGGCAGAGCTCACACCACAAAAATCACGGATCCACGGCTTCATGGCAACACCATGCAACAAAAACATGGTTTCAAAGCACATATCCTCATGGATCCTCATGATTTTTGCTTTGAGTCACCCCAACATCATCATAAAATCACATATTATGTCCATAGGCACAGCTTGCAGCACAGAAATCACGGATCCACAGGTTCACAGCAATACCACGGAGCAAAACCATGGTCCGGACCATGGGTCCTTAGGAGTTTTGCATTGGTTCCCCCCAAGCTCACCATCAAATCACCCAGAGACTCAGCTTACACCACAAAAGTCACAGATCCACGGCTTTGTATCGACACTATATTGGAAAAAATGATTTTAAAGCACAGATCTTCATAGATCCTCAGGGTTTTTGCATTGGGTCACCCCAACATCACCATCAAATCACATATCATGTCCATGGTTAGAGCTTGCACCACAGAAATCACGGATCCATGGCTTCGTAGCAACACCACCCTACAAAAATGTGGCTCTGAAGCATGGATTCTCATAGATTCTCAGAGTTTTTGTACTGGGTCATACAAAACTTATCAAGTCACATATCACGTCCATGGCCACAGCTTGCACCACAGAAATAACAGATCCACGGCTTCTTGGTGACACCATGTAGCAAAAACATGGATCCGAAGCATGGATCCTCAGGGATTATGCATTGGATAACCTGAAACTCACTGTCAAATCACATATCATGTCCATGGCCACAGCTTTTCCCGCAAAAATCCCA